ACATACTGCAGACATGATGGAACACATGGAATCACTACTAACTGTACTTACTCTAGAACATACTGCAAACAGGAAACAAGAGAGGATTCTGGGATGCCCTGAATGTTGTTGAGGCATTTCAATATCATATCCTGAAATGGTAAATACAAGGATTTTGGTCAACATATGTTTTTGAGCAAATATGTTTTCCATAACTTTTTCTTCAAAATTGGTACACTGACAGCTTGATATATATTAACTATTTATAAAAAAAAATAAGAAAAAAAATGGGGGTTACCACTACGGTTTWWAAAAAAAAGTTATAACAGTTTAGAGAAGTGAACCTCCTCCTTTGATATTTTGCCCATCAAAACATTACATTGCAATGCAACAACATTTGGATTACATTATCACAATAAGTGCACATGCACTAAACTCATGAGCAGGAAGGCTGCCCATGAACAAGGCCTATGAATGTTCCTTAACTCTTATATTGCTTTTACTTGAAAAATGTCAAACCCTTATTAAAGTATGGTCATAGCCTACAGCATGGTTGGTCCGGGTTAAACAGGATCATGCTTTTTTACTGTGAACACCATTTTTTCCTCTCATAAAAATAAGTAAATAAAAGTAAATAAAATACAGGATCACTCTTTTATAAACCAAACCACTGGCAGTCCAGCTGCTAGAAATCTTGAAAACAAGTGTCTGATTACTAAGCCGGAGTCTCTATCGACCATGTTACTATTAATACCTCTTTCCCCTCCTAGGTAAATTGTCCATTATTTCAGATCACATGACATTCCCTTGATAATTGTTCTTTTATGACTAGTATGTTAGAATATTTACACATAAAACAGTCAACCCCCAAGAGTGGCATCACATGGTCTGAAATGTGCACGACAAACAACAAAGTCTATTCTAAGGAGGAAATTAAAGGGACTTAATATTTTACTTACTATTTTGTAAAAATATAATTTCGATGGACAAATGGAAAGTCAGATTTAGAAAAGAAGAGAAATGTAAATGACTAAGCATAAAGCAACTGAGTGAATACAACATGAAAATAAAAGGCTGACATACTATCTCATTTTTCTCAGTCAGTCGCTTCAGAAGGTCTGCACTTGCACTGAAAATAAAAGAATACCAATCTGACATTAATACTATTATACACAGAATCAAGTGAAATGTTATAGCCCATTGTATAAGATTTAACTGGTCAGGAGTAAGTTGTATAAAGCCTGAAAGTTTAGTTATCCAATGAATAAGCACAGACTATACAGCAGATAAAAGTGCTATCTAGCAAACAGGTATAGGAGCTTCAGTAATGATTAATGATTTCTAGTATAATTTTAGTCTTGAATATTATGGAGTTTCACATGCTGTGATTGGTGTAGTGATCATGACCAGTTATTCTGAGATGATAATCACTAACCCAGCTGTGATTACGAGGTTTGATAAAACGTTTTTTATCCTGAATTTCAAGTTTTCTCTGATATTGAAGTCTAAAATTATACTAAAAAAATTATTCCCCTCAAGGTCAGTGATTATGGTGAATACTTATACCTCTCCCCTCTAAGACTTGCACCTTGGTAAATATTCACTATTAATCACTTCGCCTTCGGCAGATAACTGTTATAAATATTTTACACAGTGCCCATTAAATATTGATATAAGGAAACAATAAGTTTTGAGTTTCAGATTGCTTTTCATGCAATTTACAGACATGAGAGGTGATGGTTAGTATGAGGTGTAGGCACTAAGAGTGGTCACTGCCAGGGTTTCTTTATGCCCTCAGTGGGACATCCCTCCAATATTGTTCAGTAATGATAAAGTGTGGAGAGACGGGACCGCCATTTAAAGTGGACATCAAGCCACTTGAAGGTCTAACCATTTATAATTACAAAGACAGCACCTTGTCCTCAGTTATTTTAAGACCCTGAGTGTTGGTCCGGCTGGTACTCAAACCATGACCAACGAATGTCTAATGTTCAACCTTCTGAGCCAATTGGCTGGCGGTTATCCATAGGATTTAACCAGTGCAAAATCGATTGGATAAATTCTATTTGAGCTTTGCTCAACCAAATCACACCATCTGGATTAAGGATTTATCTGGTGGATAGTGCTTTTTCTGAATATTAATGATTTTCTTACTGTAGATGTAATAATTGTCAAATAATGGACACACTGTCTTAGGATTTCTGATAGAAGATAGCAGTGACATAAAAAAACTCTGAAATTGATTAATTTTACTTATAAATGAAATGAATTTAAGGTAAAACAAAAACACGATTGTTGTGAAGCATTCTGAAAATGGTAGTCAAATAATGGAATTATGGATGGATAATAATTATATTTTCATTAAATCAATATTTTTGGGCAGATTTTTGTACCTTCCTGGAATACATCGTGTCTGGATAAGGCAAGAGAGGGCTTCATTGGGCCAGGAAGTTGTTTCTTCTAGACATTGTGACAGGACAGTTAATACAAAATGTTGAGAAAGCCGATATTTCCCTTTTAGTTTATCCTGAAAATGTATAAGCACAAGATTGTTTTTAGTAAGTATAAGCTTGGTTTATTGGTTCTTACAGAGATACTGTACTTTACATATGGGTTGCCTGTGAATAAGTCAAACAAGATACCATTAGACATCATCAGACAATGCGGAGGTGGATGTTTTTAGCCGAAATGATTTTCCATAATAAGTTGCCTAACGCTCTGACATTAAATGCAGACTTAAATGCAATAAATATGTTGCAATAGCCTCTCAAAACTGTGTCAATGGAAGTCATATTTACAAGAGCCTGGATTTCATCTTTTTATTGGTTGGGGTTTTCCCCTGGCCACAGGTTTACTTTGACCCCCCCCCCCCCCCCCCCAAAACCTATACTCCATGGTCCCTAACCATATTATATACAGCAACTATTACAGAGTGACGCACCTTTAGAACCGTGGCTACCCACCTTATTTTTAACTACTTAACCAATCAGACATCATGAATTTGTGCATATTGCCCATAAAATCACTCACTCAACAGCGTGTCCACAAATAATTAAAATCATTTCAACAAAAACTTAAATAAATGGCTAGGTGATAGTCCTATTTTGGTCCCTTTGCTGACGAACACTGGACTCTTTCGTAAAATTTAAAGTCTTTTAAATTGATGAAAACACTTGGCAGAAAAGGATTCAACTTCATAATGGTAAAAAAATAAGTTGGGTAGCCACGGTTAGGCAGGTTGCACTGTAACATACAAGTAATTTTTTAAACTTTCTTTGCAGCAAAGGATAGGACATAAGGTCATGTTATACATATTTCTAATACCTTAGACTTAAGTGGAGCCTTCTTCACAGTATCAACAACATTATCCATGGAATATTTAGAGTCTAGGTACTTTCTCAGCTCTGTGTGGAATTCCTTTGGTGACTTTATCTACAAAAAATAATTAATAAGCCAGACAACAAGCTTGGATGATAATATTGTAATATCATAAAGAAAAAACCTTTATACTAGCTGAAACAACGTCTAGTTTGATCTGTCAGCACTAGCTGCACAGATTGAATTGGAATTTAGTGTGGATTTGTTTTGTGTAGGAAGGTGCTGTATGATATGGACAAAAATTCCTTAAACCAAGGGAGAAAATCAAAAATATGGGAGATTCAGTTATCGTAAGAGCTTTGAACAATAATTATATTATTATTGTAAGTAAAAACATGTATGTTTCCAAGAGGGCATATGTGTGCCACGTAAATTCCCCGGATGGGCTATTTTTACTAACCGGATGCAGTTTAAATTTCGCCTTTACGTATTCCCATGCGTCATCAACTTGAGTGAGTGCGTGCTCTTTCCATTTATCATTTTCGATCACTAAATACAAAACGGAAAGAGCACATGGGCGCAAGTTGATGACGCACAGCAGTAGGGTAAGGTTAAATTCAAACTGCATCTGGTTACTAAAAACAGCCCAACCAAGAATTTTAAATGGCACACACCTTATTAAGAAGTTTCCCTCTATTATTTATGTTCTCTTGACGCATCAGATAAGTTTCCACTACCTCATCATTTACAGAATTGGCTCATTCACATTAACTTAAGGAAACTTTGCAGGCAGTTAGTTTCCTAGCTTACTAAAGATGAATAAACTCACAATAGCAATTGTCATTGCTTTTGTGCAAATCTGATGACGTCTGTCACCTAGCATGAGTATAAACCATTGTACGTAATGACTTTTAGCAAGTGATAGATCTCTTCAAATATGTACCTTTTTGGGACTGGTTAACTTTTGTAATACTGTTTCTTCCGTGGATTGCTCTGTTTGCATTAATTCCATCCAGTCTTTCAGGTCCTATAAAATAATGTTTCTTAATTATTGATTATTATTATTAAATTTTATTAAAAGTCTATCTCTGCTAATATTAGAATGATAAGGAAAGAGAACAAAATTAAATTAGATGAAATAGGATGGGATATAATGGATTACAATTTACAGTGTGCCTAACGTACCATGGCCACACAACTTATTTTTTTACTAGTTAGCCAATCAGACAGCAAGAATTTGTGCATTTGCACAATTAAAATCATTACATACTCTTTGCAACTTGTAAAAACTTAAATAAATGGCTAGTAATTTGCCTCTAGGTGATATCTATTTTGGTCCCCTTGCAGGGTAACACTGGACAATTTCATAAAAAGTCTTGGCCGAAAAGGATTCAAGAGATAACTCAAGGGATATCACATTTGAATGAAATATTGTACATTTTGCTGTTGTGACAAGAAGGTTTTGGTGGACTCATCAATCAAGGCATTTCCATGGCATTCCATATATGTAGGCACATAGGCACCCTTGAATAATCATTAGTCTTTTCTAAGGATGTTATGGAGACACTTTGACTTGTGTCCACCAAAATCCTATTTTTGCACAACAACAAATTGTATGATTTTGTGAGTATGATTGCCAATCCCAGTCAAATATTCGTTAGCCATAACTTATTAAAAAAAATAAAGCAACAATTAAAATTCGAAATGGATGTGACATGGCTTGAGTACTGGCAAGGTTGGGGGTGACTTTAGCCTTTGTTCAACCGAAGATTCCAGAATAATGTACAAGTAATAGGAAATTCTAGAAAGTTCTAGACATAGATAAGTTTCATGCCTAAAGTCATGCATAAGTTCACATTCCAGAAACTTCTAGAAAATTGTTAAAAATAGGTATGATAAGTTACAAAAAATAACAACAAATAGAACATTCTAGAACATAGCTCAAAAAGTATATAAATTAGAAACGTTCAGTTCACAGTGTGTGCAGTTATAGTGCAGTTATATAGTGCAGTTGAAGTAGTCGATAGTTCAGAAGGTCAGATTGTTAAGAAGTTAAAACAACGAATAAAATCCTTCAGAACAGCCTCCTCAATCTTAGCTAACATCCACTTTAATTAATTGAAAACTTCAAATCTCAGCTCTGCAAACTAATATTCCTAAACATCTTATACAACTATTTCAAAAAGGTTGAAGGGGTGAATCGCAAATGGGTGTGGATGATGGGCCATTGCTTGATTGAAAGGAACTGTTGGGTATAATAAGAATTTCTTTATAATCACTTCTTAAATACCTAAACAATGCCTGCGCCATTTAGTGAAGGCCTAATAGATGACAGGTTGATGCAGTTGTTATTTATCTAGTTGTTATTTAGTTATCTCCTTAATAGTATGACCACAGTTCCTTTCGGTTGCACAAACGCCAATCACTGAACACCATGCACTGTTCGCCTCTTCAACCTTTTTTGATCGAGGTAGAGAAAAGGAACAGTTTGTTTCCTGTTCACTGATCTCTGTTTATGCACTCTTCTCTGCAGTCTTTCTTCTCCTTTCTTTTTGTGCGCAGGAATCCCAAGCACAATACAAAGTAAAGAAATAAACCCCACAAATTTAAGTATTACCTGTACCTAATTACAATTAATGAATATTATGGTAATCAAATAAAAGTTCCTATATAAGGCCAAAATTACCTTGCTGGGGTCTGGTAACTGTGGGATACAAAGAAGTGGTCTAATGGAAGTCAAGCCATCTGTCCCATTCGTCCTACTTCATAAAAAATCATTATTTAGTAATAATCGTGTATTAATAATAATATTAATAAGGTATGATATCAGTGAGCTGGTAGGTCATTTTCTTCATGGAATTAAACATGGCTTAATACTGTACATAAATTAAGTTTAAACTTATAGGCTCAATAGACGACTTGCACTAAGAGGTCACATGATCAAATCTGGCATCGTGGCTGGAATTCTACATAATTTTAGCTATGCGAGAATGTAAACAGTGATGGCGGATTCGGGTAGTTTTTTTGTGTGATAAAAGGTAAGTTAGCGCACTAAATAATGATAAAAATTTATTTTTCTTGGAAGAAATATACTTTTAATTAGATATTTTAAATGCAAGTCATCTGAACAGGCTTTTAGCATCTCATATCAACTGCATAGCACAAATAAACATATAATAATATTAACAACTATGGCATTTCCCAGAATACCTTTTAATCTCAGCTTTTATTTCTATATTTTAGGGCCCAGTTATGATTTTGCATTTAGTGTATTTTTCAATATATGTACAAAGTACATTACTCTAGTGGCCAAAAAGGGCATGCTCTTTGAGGTGAATGACAGCTGTGTGTACCCCTATACAACCTCCCTTCAAAATAGATGTTGAAACAAGTGTGAGCCATCATACAAGAAATCTATCAATAAAGATCAAGACCTCTAGCTTTGTTTGCAATCGACTAACTAGTATAACTATACCTTGTTCTTGGAGCCATTTTGCCAAGAGCTGTAGCAAGGGATGATTCCTTTACTGTACAAGAACATGCTGCCACACAGTTATCAACAGCCATACAAACATATCCTTCTGTACACAACATGTGCTCTACATCAAGGGGGCCTTCTGTAGTACCGCCATCTGTATTCAGTTTTTCTAAAGTTATACTGGCCTGTTTGGTGCCAAACTTTGTCTCATATATGTAAATGGCATCTTCAAAAAAGAAGTCCTCATGTCAGGTTTTTTGTAAATACCATGATGCCGTGATGATTATGATCTATATTTAGGCCATGCTTATTTAATTATTTTATTTGAATTTCCGGTCCCAGGTAACTTCTTCTTAACATAAAGCAGCATATGACGTTACTAATAAATAAGTGCAATTATCTGTCACATACCTTGTAGGTTGTTCTCTGTATTGGATCCATAACATAAGCAAACATGTGTAGAGTCCAATGTTTCCATGACAACAGATTTCTATCAATTTGAATAAATCGTTAGTATTAATTGTCAATATTTAAGCTAGAGCATTTCATTTTACTTACATGTATCACACTGCATGAATTGTTTAAAGTTTACATCAGAAGTTATCTATAAACTTAGTAAAGGGTACAGGTAGCCTAGTTGTTGTATATTTGGTAAAAGCTTCAATTAGCAAGGAGAATTTTTTACAAGAATCACCCTGGAACTCCACCAGAATTTGGATAGGGGTGTTCCACTGGAATTCTGAAAGGGGTACCCTGTTTATGACAAAAAAAAAAAAAAAAAATTTGTAGGCCCTGTTTATGACAAAAGATATAATTAATTGCACTGAGTTCCTGTTTCAATTATCATGTCATCTCGCGTATCGTTTTTTTACCACCATAATAACCAGTTTCAATCAATACAAAAGTAGAAACCCTGAATATGACGGGAAACTCAGGAAGAACTTGGAACTTGAGTGAAATTGCATACCCTGTTTATGACAAGAAGCTTGAAAATCCATACCCTGTTCAGCAGATTATCCCAGTATAGTCCAAATATGGGAGTACCCCCCCTCCTCCCCGGATTACAACCACCCCATGGGTAAGGCATGAACATTTTGAAGGACCGTAAGTTTAATGTGTTGAATTTATTTGAGTATTTACTACCTGATGTCTGGTTTTATTGCATATTTTTGGTCCTTTGTTTATCTTGTTGATGCATCTGCATGTTAACCTGTTCTGTTCTTGATGCATAAATCTTTCTAAGACATCCTTTAATTCTGTTATACACAGAGATCCTTCAGACCCTTCAAATAAAAACCTGGCCTATTTAGTTTACAGCTAATGCAACTACAGGGTTCCAAATACCAGCCCACATCAAGATGTGTAAGACACAACTTAATGAAATGAAAAGATGAAACCCTTGTTTCTGGCACAATTTTACTGGTAAAAATCACCAAAACTTAAATGAAGATTTGACCAGACAAGTTCCAATTCTGGCGAAACATTGTACAATGACCAGCCATTATTTTAGCCCTGTAAAATGTGATGACATTGTGTAAGCATGTACTCACCCTAATGGTATGGGTGAATGGCAATCCATTTAAATTTTGAAAATAAATAGAACTTGCAATATGACAAAATATTTTAAAATGATAACAATTGTATTTGTAAGTAATCTATTTAACATGATTTTAAATAAGTATGAAGTTTGCCTTAATTTTCATACTTAATTAGGCTGTTTTAATCTTATGTCACATTATTCTCAGCAATTGTATCACACTTACATAATGAAACGAAGTTGAAATTTCCAAATTCTTGAAAACAGCAGCTTAATAGTTCTTCATTCTAGTAGAATAAATGTAAATGTACATTTAATATTAATTTTTGCATTAACGGAAATATATTGTAATGATATATTTACTGGGTTGCCTGTGGCACTCCAGTCATAATTAATTTTGTTTTTGTCTTTTCTGTCTCACGAAAAGTTGTGCAAGGGCATACCCATATATGGATTTGAAAGATTAATGGATCATACACTGGCTTAGCACCTCTTTTTAGTTGAATAAGATATATACATGCATATGAATATATCATTAACTACTATGCGCGTGCRTGCTGTGTGTTGTCATAAAGCACGCGGGGGTTGGAAGAACACGAGAGAAGTGTTAGGAGAAGCACGATGCGTAGCTGAGTGCTTCTGGACACTTCTCGAGTGTTCTGCCAATCCCCAAGTGCTTTATGACTGCACACAGCACAGCTAGCAAGTTTTTTATTTCTTCTATAAAATACAAATTACAATAACCGTTATTTTAGATAGGAATGACGCAACAGAAAGTGCGCACATGTGCAATGTGCTCTTATAAAACACGTGCTCCAAGCCAATCAGAACACGACATTCATAACAGTTATTTTATAAAGTAAATTAATGAATAACTATGAACCTTAGCTGGAGCATCAATGGTCCATTCAGTTGTGCATTGGGCATCTTTATCAGCTACTAGTCTAGAGACACTGACAATTAAACGGTTTTCCTTGAAAACAAAAAAACAGAAAATATTTGATAATTAATTAAAAAAGTAAAAGTGCATGGTTCTGAAGTATTCAACAATCTATTTTTCAAAATTTATTATCAATAATAAATTTTGTAGATCTAATGATAATATGAGGTGGTCTAAATGTCTAAGGCCTAGGGCAAACGTCAAACTTTCCATGCATCAAACTCATTAAAAACAATGGATATCAGGTGATAATGAGGCGGYATTCTTTGATGTAATTAAGTTCGGTGCATGGAAAGTTCGACGTTTGCCCTAGGCCTAATACTCTTTAAGGAGGGTAATATTAACATCAATATTTATATAGTGAATTGGAAAAAACTCAGCTAAATTTACATTTAAAGCAAAAAAATTAAAGTCAATCAAAACAAAGAATTGCATATACTGTACTAAAATAACAGAAAAGTTAAATGAATTGTATGTACCTTATGTTTAGCCATACATACTAGAGGGATGTTGTTATATTTCAATAATTTACATGTCAAAACTCTGAAAGAATAAAAACATCATAATTATTGAAATCAATTTTCCAGGTAATCTGACTAGGCATGTGAAGCATGATTTCTGTGACTGAAAAAAGAATCAATCTCATTAACACTACATGCTCCAAACATGATATGAATTGCTTATGATAATACATGTAGTTCAATAAAACTCAATGCACATGTTTAGTTTCTATCTGTGCTTATTTCATCCCCCAACCTCATATGCCTGCAGGCTTAAAAAAAGCAGCCTGCCAATGGCCAAATTTCATGTTGGGAAGGAGAAAATAACAGTGAACTGCCAAATTGATAAAATAATGGGAGGCAAGATGGAATGGTCTCCTTTTATCATGCTCCTTTATTAAATAAGGCAGGCAATTTTTTGAGCCCTGAGATAAGTTGAGTTGAAAGTTGCATACTTAGAATAGTGATTGCAGGTAGCAGCCAGACAAGAGCAAACAAATAACTATCTATAATCAATGAAATTTTTTTCCCTATTAGAATCTTAAAATTTACTCCCACAAACATCTTCACAGTGTTAACGTAAATCTTCACCTTTGAGTTACTGCAGTTGACTGTCTTCTTGTTTTCCTTGTTGTTATGGTATTGCAGTTGGATAGTAAACTCCAAGTACCATCATGAAACACAACAACAGGGCCAAGAGAACAAGTAGAACTGACAAGGATCTTGAAAACAGGTTTATCAACCTAAACAACATATATAAAATGAGTTGGGATGACTTTAGACAGGCAGGCATGAGTGACATGAGTGCTGATGTGACCTTGGGTTTGATTCCTGTATGGCTCAGTGTGATATGTGAGAAGAGTTCATTGTTTGTTGGTTCTTTCCTGTGTTCCGAGGGTCTCTCTCTATATCTTAGGATATATTATTAATAGGGTTAACCTCTTACATCTCCTTTCAAGCTATRCAATGCAAATACATTCCTTTCTTCAGAAGTTAAAAGAAAAAAGGTGAATTCCTTTTTTCAGTGGGATATGTGTGGGAACATTGCTATGCAAGACTGCAAATAAGTGCTGGTCATCAGACAAATGTTGTAAAAATATCACTTCATTGGTAAATGATTGGCCTTGGCTGGACATTTGACCAGACACACTTGGGTATTAGACAGCTCAAACATGCCTCTGTCCTGACAATTAATATTGACCTTTTTTAAATTTAAAAAAATATTTGCAGCCTTGCTTGGGTACCTTTGTAATAATCATGTAATATATGTACATAGATTTTTTGATTTTATTGGATCCATACCACTAGAAAAAGTTTAAACTTGTTAATAAGTTAATTATTTATAACATAATATATAAGAGGAATTAATAAATAAGACTGGAAATAAGTAGATTGTTTTACCTTGATTTGCTGGCAGTCTACCAAGTCTTCAGCATTCTCATGCCATTGACAAATATTCTGAAGGATTAGACAATACAAGAACATGTGTTCCTTCAAACTCCAAAAAGCACAGTAAATAAATTTTACATATATTACATGTATATAATTATAATGTCAGATGATTACACCAATTTCAAAAAAAATGACCGTTTGAGATCTGAAATGGAGGATCTGAGACTATAAATGATGAACCTTTTTGTGCTTTTGTCACATTTCTAACTCAAAGCTCATGCTTCATATTCCAATCAAGAAGCAAACTATAGATGCGAATGCATTACAATATTTGCAGTTTGCTACGGAGTCTTAGTCTCAGATCAAAGCTGAAATTCAAGGAATTTTCAAGGAGTTTTTTAAAAGGGGTAGCACTATAACCCTGTAGTAATGGCCAATGTTATTCTATGTGCATCATTATTGGGGTGAAAGCATATTAGTCACTATTTTTTACTGGTTGTCAATCATATTCTTATACTTCTCACCACGTTTTCAATAATCCCAACATATTTTCTACTCTCAGGGTCCTGGACTACTGCAGATGTGAACTCTCTTCTTTGCTGGACTGGTAAACTGAGCACAAGTTTATTATTTTCTAACTAAAAATAAAAATAAAAATCATGTGTCACTGTTAATTATTAGTTAATCATTTGGTTCCTATTTTGTTCTTATGAAAAATTGCTATCACTATACAAATACAACAGGCTAGCTATACTGGCTGTAATATATAGTCTAGCCATGAGTACATCTAACCTGTTTGGATCATGGTTGATTTTAGGGGCAATGAAAAGTTAGGGAAACAACATCTACAGGGTTTAGAAAAAAAATAAGCCCCTTGYAGTTAACGGTCACGTGTCTGTACTGGAGGGCAGAATTTATGTTTTTATACTAAATTGGTGATTCTTTTTAGGTACTTGTAAAGAACTGAATGAAAACATGTGTATCCAGTGTGTTACAAAATGCTGTTTTATTACGATCTCTCAAAACAGGTTGTAGAAAGTTTGTTTGCAGTCCAGTAAATTCCACCCATGGGAATCAAAATCCTCATTCATTTGCTCTCAGTGAATTAATGAGCACGTGATTGCTTAGCTGCAAAGTGCCTATCAGCCAAACCAAACTGCTATACATTCATAGGGTGTGCATATATATATATACAGTATGGGGTAAAGTCTGTATCAGGAACGGCAGAGATGCAAATATGGGAGCTGAGATAGCAAATGTACATGTAGTACATTTTGGATTGGCTTCAGAACCAACTTCTTTTCTTAATCATGCCTCCTTAGATGGTGTTGTTTTATTCAACAGCTTGACAGTGAATGTAGGACTTGCAGAGAGCACCATTTTTTTATACACAGAAAAGAAAATGGTTTACATGTGGAAATTCAGCATTTTTATGAAGACTGAACGCCACAAAACATTAAATAATAACTAGAATTATTCGTATGCTTGTGTTTGATACTCTCAAATTAATCAAAAGTAGTAAGACTTAAGACACTGTGCAAAGATCAAACAAAACATGTGATCTTATAAATATATTTTTTTACTCAAACAAAAAGAACAAGATATACTCACGTCATAAACCACAACTCCTCTATCCTTGAATGTTAATATGACATGATTTTTATTGCAGTGTTTTTCAATTCCAAGCAATGAATCCTTTTGAAAACCTTTGCACAACAAGAAACATCGACTAACGTCTGCCATCTTGATTTGCACGTGTATGAGCCTCACACTGGGTCAGCGGCTACTATACCATAACGTCGTCCCCATCTCTCTGACTTGCAAAATTATTCAAAATAGCGACTCTAACATTTCGAAATAAAGGAGTTATACGCTAGGGGTTGTATTTGAGCTTTGCCTTTGTGTATTTTGTTGCAGCTGAAGGATTTTTTTAAACAAATTTAAAGGAAATACAATGACATTTCGTGACGTCACGACGCAGGCTAATAGAGGATGTGATAAATGCGCATGTCCAGCCTATGTTTTTGTTGTGCTTTGAGTGGAAAAAACAGTGATTCAGAATCTAGATAAACTGCGACAAGAAAAGCCAYTTGGAGCTGATCTGAAGCACAGAGAAGCTAAGCAATCTCGATGAATCTTGCTGCATATGGCGGAGATCCATCGGGCAACCTTCTTTTTGTCAACTTTAACCAGGATTGCTCGTGAGTCTGACATTTTCACCCCAAAAAGCTGTGGAGAGAAAAATCACTACTTAAGCTTATATTGTTGTCTTTTTTGTTTTACTTTCACTAGTTCCCTAGCTGTAGGGGCAAAGACTGGTTATAAACTATATTCTCTAGGATCTGTAGAGAAATTGGAGGAGATCTATGAATATGGTAAGAAAATACATCATGAGAAACACTCCTGAAACTAGACGACTTGATAGCTAATGTCGTCATTCTATATGTCTAAAAATATAAAAACAAATGAAAATACAGAGTAACTCCACATAATTTACAGTGGTCATTAAAATCTCTTTGATAAATTATTATCATTTTCTAAAAGTTAATATTTCATAAATTCCCACTAGCTACAAAGTAATTTTCAACCTTTACACCTTATCAGTTCGTGCATGAGTAGCTATATAGTGCTTGTGGTTTAGTCGTGGCGTGACTGCTTAATAATAGCGATCTACGTGATCATGATACGAGGAGTACCTACCATAGTATGAATACAAAGCAATGTATTCAACCATTATGCTTTTACGTACTCAACATTATTAGATTGTAGAGAATTTTGCTGAGACAAGCATATAAGTCGTTTCTGTTTAATTAATAAATATTTTAAGAAAATATTGTAATTTTCTGTTATTCTGCACAGTTTTTTTTGTTGAGCTAGTTAATGTTACGTTTGTAATAAGGGGTAGAAAATATTATGTATTATATGTAATTATGATTTCTGGTTGTTGAAGATGAATGGATGAAGGACATTCCTTGAGCAGTCCATATATCTAATGTGAAAATAATTGTAGTAAGGACACACTGTACACGTGTGGTTTTGCCACACCATATCTATGTTTGTTCATTATGATTTGCAAGTTTAATGTTACATTTTGAATTATGAACTTGTTTTATAGATAATGTCTATGCTCAGGACACTTTGAAGATTTCATACTTTGGCCTTTTCTCGTGGCCAAATTAAGGCCTAGGGCAAACATTGAACTTTCCATGCACCGAGCTCATTAAAAACAATGGATATCAGGTGATAATGAGGCAGCATTCTTGAAAAGTTTGATGTTTGCCCTAGGCCTAAGTCATTTTTCTTGCTTACGATGACTTAAAAACTGAATCACAATGATAGCTTTTAAGACCAAATCAAGGTCTTGTTACAGGGTACCTTGTGCCAATACCACAGGAAGCCCAGGTGGGAAATTGGTCGAAAAATGACAATTTAAAATGTTTATCACGAAGATTGTTTTTAATAATAAACACTTTTTACTTTACAAGTGTAAAAGAAGGGGAATGAGTATTCAACCCCCTCGGCAATCCTGGATCATCTACTGATCCTTTCTTGTTCACATATAAAGCCCATATATGATGGTTTATGTGTTTATCAATCCTTTTATGACGAATAAATTGAAGAAAAAAATGTGTATGAAAAATTCTGCCAGAAATTAAATTATAGCAGAATTTTTACTTTTGAAATGTAAAATTTCCTTCCTGATTGCTTTGTAATCAAGTTCATCTTTGGGATTATAGCTAAGGCATCAAGGGTGAAGAATTAAAGGATTTCCCTTGTTCTGAATATAGATTCTTCTATTGCACGTTACGTCATCGTGGCCATGTTGTTGTCATTTAATTTTTCATTAGCATCCATTGTTAATGACACAGCAATGGCCGTCAGAATTTTTGTCTTTTAACTCTCTTGGGAATGCTTGCAATCCATCAATTAGACTTTAGAATTTTGAATTAATTGAATCTTATCTGAAGACTTTGGTTGTCTTGGTAATCAAGTGTAGATGTAAATTAAACCCTAGAAAGCACATTGCCTATCTCCTGTCAATGATGTGATTTGTGGGATTCTCTTGTATGAGCAGTTTGTCAGTAAATAAATAATATGTGATATTTAAACTATTCATAATATGATACTAATTGGCATATATTATTAATATTTCTTTATGATTTATGTATGCAAGTTTATGATAAATTTATAATTAAAGTAAGTGTTAAGAAAACTGTTTCTCATTTTTAAAGGCATTCTTATATAAGTCTTATTAAGTTACTTAACCTATGTACAGTTAAATGCCAAGCATTTACTTGAGGTTATTTTGAATATATTAAGATCTTGTTTGATGATAAAACTGCTGTTGTTAATCTTCATTATAGGAGATACAGAGGACATCTGCATTGTTGAAAGGCTCTTTTCTAGTAGTTTGGTTGCCGTTGTCAGCTTGTCTGCTCCAAGAAAACTGAAAGTTTGTCACTTTAAGGTAAAATGGACTGAATAACTGAAAACATGGTGTTTCATATAGTTGGTATCATCATAATAATAATAATGTATTTATATAGCGCATGTTCCATCTGGATATGTACACACTAGGCACTTTTCAAAATCAAAAATTACGACTAAAAAGAAAAGATCATATATACATATTTACAGCTAAGATTAATAAAGCAAAAAAAAAAACAACGAAAAACCATGCAATACCACACTATACAACACCATGCCATAGCACACTATACCAAACCACAACATATATATACAACACTATATACCAAAGTACCCCATAACATACCACGCAATACCACACTATACAACACCATACTACACCATTACCATAGCACACTATGCTATACCACATGCCTTTTCACCTTGACAGCTTGTTGACAGATCGATCATTTAACAAATGGGAGTTATTAATTTTTCTGAGTGTGTGTTTTCCACAGTCCCTACTTTTCCTTACCCTGCGTGCCGCTTCAAATTGTCCCCACTCCCTTTATGAGTGAACAGACAAGAACCCTGACTGGAGTGAGCTAGGAGGGAAAGAGGGACTGTTAACAGTCTACACTATAGTACAGCAAGCAAGTTTTTTATTTCCTTTTATAAAATATATATTAAAATAAACATTCTTTTGGATACAAATGATAAAATAGAAAGATTGTTTGCATGCTGTGTCCTGTCATAAAACAATATTATTGCATCACCTACCAATCAGAATCAGCCAGATTTATATTACATCTGTTATTCATAAATGTATGAAGCTCATTGTTGTTTATATTTCTTGAATATTTTGTGTTGCAGAAAGGAACTGAAATATGCAACTACAGTTATCCCAACACAATCTTAGCTGTGAGACTCAACAGAGTGGTAAGCTTTTGACCTTGTTTCATTTGCTCCTTGGGTTTTGTTTAACACACCATAAAACCCCTGTTATAGCTGGCTGCTGAAAAAAGCCAGTAAAATGGATTAATTATTACCCACATACAGTGCCTTAACTGAGTATATATATACACACATGGAGTCCACACAGCCACTGCTGGAAACGCTGGTTTTCTGTTCTGTTAATAAGTTAGTTAGGGTATTAAGTGACAAATGATGAAACTTTCAGAATTTCTAATTTGTAATATCTGTGCCAGATTCTCTCAGGCCCTCTTGTTGTTTTTTCCATCCACACAGAACATTAATTAAGCAATATTTCTAAGCTTCAGGATTCAGAGATTTAAAGCTTGTAAGAATTTTCATGAACTCTTTAAAGCAATTTTATTTGAGGGGTCTGATTGAAGTTTCATGCTTTATTGTCACTATAGTCTGCACTTCTAAATGATAAAAGGAATGCAAAAGAGATCATGTCTCCGTGCACCAATCAAAACCTCATGCTCTTGTAAATGACACAGGGCTGTCAACCCCTGAGATATTCAAATCTGGAGAATTGATAGGGGAGGGACATGACGTCACAGTGCGTCAAAAAGTGCGCAAAAAGATGTCTTTCGCTTTGTAACATTTGATGGGATTGGTTTATTTCTGACCAATCCTGCCTGCTTGCAAGAACAGCTATGAGGAATGTTTTGATTTTGTTAGCGATGTAAAATAACACAAACAAAATATTAAAATAATTGGAATTTTATGGTTGTGAAAGTCGAGTCTCACAAGAAATGGTCAGCTTCGGGGATTATCCGGGAGATTTGAGACTCTAATCTGGAGACCGGGTTGACAGCCCTGAATGCATGACACAGCACTATTCAATTAAATGTATAATAACTTTTATCTTTGAACTTAAACATTGTTTACAACAGTGGCTGTGGGATTCCTGTGGTACATACTGGCAAAAAAAACAAAAAAACACTTACGTCACTGCCTGTGCACATGGATGCAGGTTAAGAAAGTGTTGGAAGAGTTGTTTAACTTCAACATCCTCATTCAAACAATTTCCAAAATTACAAAGTTAAGCTAGAAAGTTGCCTTTGTGTTTGTCAATGACTAATTGTCCCTGTATTCCAGTAACCCCTATCACTACATGTAGCTGAAAAAAATTTAAAGACTCATGAATAATTAATGAGCATTTGAACCAATAAGAGCAACCATGGCAGTGACAAACCTCACTGAGCATAACATTGGTGTACAAACGACTAACAAAGTATAAAAATTAATGTTCGTGAGGTATATGGTCACTCTACTTCAACTGTTTGTAAATTATACCTAAGTTTTTGAACAGTTTAATAAACTTGCAGATYGTGTTTTATCGGGTCTAAAATTGAGACAACACTCCTACTCATTTATTAAACAGTACTTAAAAGTCAATTATTTCAACATTCCTATTTCCTTTTTAGAGGTTGTTGGTTGTTCTGGAGGAGAGTTTATATATCCATAATATTAGAGACATGAAGGTAATGCACATTCACTGTAATGTAATGTGGGCCGTCCTTAGTCAATAAATTGATTGAGCTTAAAAAATTTCATAATCAACTGAGAAAAAAATGACCCGCAGATTAGTACTCTAACATTATAAGCATGAGGATTGAAATGTTCTTCTTATGCTTGTGCTTATGTCTATAGTGTCACTGAATTTCCAGTGCTTGTGCTTGTGCACTGGTCAGGACAAGGCTTAATTTATTTTCCAATGTATGGGCTTGGATGACGTAAGCCTTACACCAGGATAACAGTCAGCAGGCAGAGATAGAAAAGTGTGATTTTAGGATACCAGACCAGAAAAAACGAAATGTTAGTACACTGTATCATTTCCAGAATCCGTTTACTTGACTACAACAATGGTTCTAAGTGGAGGTTGAATTTGGCAGAACACAGTGAATGTATAAACACTTGTCAGAATACAGTCAATGTATGAACACTTGTCAGAATACAGCGAATGTATGCCGTGAACACTTGTCAGAACACAGTGAATGTATGAACACTTGTCAGAATACATGTATGAAATTATACACCTGTGAGTATAATAAAACTTAGATATGTTAACTAAGCAAGTATCAAGGGAATACCTGTAGGGATAAAAACTTCTATATATTAGTGAATTATAATGTAGTTGTCAATGTATGCTGCTATTTAACTAGATGTTCATCTTTAGGTTCTTCACACAATAAGGGATACACCGCCCAATGCYACAGGTATCTGAATTCTTTCTAAAATACAAATAACTGTCTCTGATTTTAACTCCCCCGTCACGATATGGAATGCACTGGCACTTCTTGTAGATTTGTTTCAAATAAACAGAAGAAACTCTATGCCAATTTTATAACTTTCTTCCGGATTGAAATGATCTTTTACTATAAAACTAAGCAGATCGATCTGCCTACAGTGGTGGCAAAACACCAAACCAATTTGTTGTTATCATCTGATGATGATTTGTTGATTGTATCAGGTTTAAGTGCACTTTCAGTCAACTCTGACAACTGCTATCTGGCATATCCTGGAAGCAATCAGGTCTGTATACACTGATTGGTTTTGCTTCTGTTTGCTCCATGAAATGGAATGGAAAGATTTTTTTAACAATTATCATAAATTTAATGCGAACTGATATTTGAGCTCTTTACTTGCAGATTGGAGAAGTTCAGATCTTTGATGCTGTTAACTTGGTAAGACATCAATTAAAGAATACCACGTTTGGATCTTGCATATCCTGTTATATGCTGTTTCTATTCTTGCTACTGCATTACTGCCATTGCATTCTCAGCCATTCTCGACACCAAAAAGGCCATRTGCACATGTGCGCATTATCTGTGGTAGATGGTACATCATAAGGTGCAATAACTCGGAACAATTTTCAGACGGCTCTGCAATCTTTCTGAACTTTTTTGCGTTGTGACACAAGTTGCATGGAGCATTGCAGCACGTAAGCTACAGCGCAATTTGAAAAATTAATGTTGCGAGACAAGTTGCAGCAATCGTTGCCAAAACTAGAAACCGTTTCTACTTTTGTCAACGATTACGAATCCATTGCACTGTGTAGACACTCTTGTAATTTTTGCTGCAACGCTGTCTCGAGACAAGTCGCAAAGCACATTGCTCCGTATGATCACGCCTTTACTGAACGAGTGAGTGAAAAATTTACATATTCATTTCGTTCATGCTTCGTTTATCCACGAGTTAAAAACTTGTGCAAAATGTATGAACTATTGTCAAGTTTTATTCCACTTCCCTGTCAGCGTGCTGTTACTATGATACCAGCTCATGATAATCCTGTGGCCGCCATGGCTTTCAATAACGCTGGAACTAAACTGGCCACAGCTTCAGAAAAGGTATGTTAGCTAGCTGTCGTCGTTCACTATTATCTTGTTAATTGTTTGGAATACTTTTCAATATGGACTACTTCGACAATACGGCGGCCATCTTAGATCGCAAGGCATTATGGGCGTCCAGGGGAAAATAAAGCTTTGTTACGCACAGTAATGACGTCGATTGATATTAGAGCAGTTTTCGTATGACTGTGAAAAGCTCACGGCACGAACATGGTAATGACACGGCAAGGGATACGCCAGACCAATCACATCATCCAATCAAATACCCGTACGTAACACGTCATAAACACGGCAAGGTTACGGCACTACCAGACCAATCTGCCAATTGAATCAACTGAGGAAACATCGAGGTCATGTCATGGCACGCTTACGGTGCTGGGCTTTTCACAGTCGTGTGAAAACTGATCTAACAGCACGAGAATACGGCAAAAGATGAATTAAGACGGAACATCGATCACCTTTAGCCATAAAAGAAAGACAAACACACGAAACTCTCTATATTTTTTCCGTCTTCTTTGCTTTGTTTTGCCCCCTATCAAGATGGCCGCCATGTCGCCGAAGTAGTCCATTGATGAGTTCGACACGAAAATAAAAGAAGAAAAAAATGAAGAAATTAAAATCTCACCTCCCCCTCTCCTACATCCCCCCCCCGCGGATTGCTTTCTTTGCACGCGCAGATGTCCGTCAACGCAGTTGTAAGACAATCATGGTATAGCCATGAGATGTAAGCCAACTTTGTTGAAAGCTTGGCATTAAAACAAACCTATAAGACGTAATGTGGTATTTTATTGCCAATAAGTTAATTGGTACAAAGGAAGGGAGGGTGGAAGGAGAGAAGGAAAGAACAATAGAAACAAACCAAACATACAAACCAAACAAACACAAACAAGTAAGCAAATAAACAAGCAACAAACAAAAACAAACAAAAAACACAAAATAAATCGATTGGTTCAAAAGATGTTTTTACAGTCATTGTGATACAGAACACAAACAACCAATGACCTTTTAATTGTTTTGGTTATCTCAGGGAACTGTTATCAGAGTGTTTTCAATCCCAGATGGACTGAAATTGCATGAATTTAGAAGAGGAGTAAAAAGGTAGGTAAAGACGAAAGGAAAGATTTAATTATACTGAATGATGAACAAGAGAGATCATGCAATCATGCGTCCATCTTGACGGACTACAAAATCAGTACAATTGAGAAGCCAGTTTTATATTTAAAGAGGACAATAATTAATTTTACGAATTCTTATCGAAAACATTTCATAGCAATGCATGATAATACTCATCATAAAGCTAGTGTTCTGATATCATGGCCCGCCTAGTTCCTTAAATTTGGATGCGCACGCAACCTTGAGAAAACGAAGGAAGGAAGGGAGGAACAAACAAGAAAACCAAACATAGGAAAGGACTTAATGAAACATTTTCTGTATACCCAAAACACGGCAAAAGATATTTTCTTAGCACATTTCAAGAGAGTAGCAAAGAAGAAAAAATCAGAAAAATAAACTAAATATGATGTGAAAGGTAGATTACCCCAGTTTTCTTATTTCAGCTTGGAGCATCGCCTTGCAACCCCGTAACATATCGCTCCTTACAGGTCATAGATTTTCTGAACCTATGCGCGTTTCAAAACACATACACAGAACTATCGTTGCACTGAACATTGTTGTGCAATTGAAATGGACATTATTAAAATAATGATAAAACGGATTTCTTCTATTTTTTCCCTACCTTTTTTGAGCTCCCCCTCTGTTATAAGCTGCCCCCTCCCCCCGATAATAAGCCTGCCAAAAAACCCTTACGAAGTCGTATAAGCCCCGGGCTTATGACAGGCATTGTATGATATCACGTTTTTGAAGGTTCGTCTTCCACTTGTTGTCGTTTATAGGTGTGTTCAAATCAACTCTCTAGCGTTTAGCCATGACTCACTGTTCCTATCTGCATCCAGTAACACGGAAACTGTACATATCTTTAAACTCGAACTTCCTAAAGACAAGTAAGTGCTACATATTGATACTTACATGCTTAATATATTTGTCCCGAAAATATAGGAATAAATAACTATTATCAATAAATATATACATCATGAAGTAAAAACCAAACAAATAAATCAATTCATAAATTAGAATCTATTTGATTATAACATAATTATAACCATTCTATAATGGTACCATGGTCACAGGTTGCAACGCTTTGACGCCTACATCTCCTGTTGTTTCTGAGGATCATGTACAAAATCTGTCTTTCTAAAAGTGTATATAGTGTTCGATTCAAAGTTTTTTTCGGCACATTGCTCGTTTACATTCGGTTTTGAAGGGGTAAGATGGGAACTGGGAACCACCTCTTTTCGGGCTGTGAAAATGGGATAGGGCTTCTGGGAATGAATGGATAGTCTACAAAAATGGGAACGAGATTTCTTTTTCTTTTTCTCTTATATAAAAATCAATTGTTTCTTTAGGCCTTCAGAAGAAACAGCAGGATGGATGGGATATTTTGGTAAAGCTTTGTCTCCTAGCAACTATCTACCCTCTCAGGTGAGAATCTTGGGAAAGAAAAAAAAGTAGTTATGATTCAGTTCATAATTTCGAAAATATGAAGGCATTAAAAAAACGTCTCCTTCAACACTTCCCGCTCGCCTACGAAGGTTCGTGCTTTAAACCAGGCATAACTAGTCAGATAAAATTATGGAGTCAACTCGGCTACAATGATTGATACCCAGACTTCCTTTCGGTCCAGTCGCGCAGGCTTGAGTTGGTCAACGACAACGTTTTTTGAATTGACTGTGGCAAATTTATCTGTATTAAGCGCATTAGTCGACAAAATGAAATTCATTGATGTCTAAACAAGATTATTTTATTTTAATTTGGCATTAGTACCTACAATGTTGCACCCAACACTTGGAGATTTGGAAACAAGAAACAACTTATGAAAACCCAAGTGTATTTATAACATTCTGTTGACGTGCACTTTTTCAGGTAACTGAAGTCTTCAATCAAGGAAGGTCATTCGCTAACGTTAGGCTACCAGTGGCAGGACTTAGAAACGTTTGCGCTATTGCCACGTGAGTATTATGTAAAGTAGAGCTGATTCACTTCCCAGGGATGGACGAAAGGTGAAGTGCATTCAGAGCTGCCGTATACAAGGCTACTCTGAGACTGGTTCAATGACTAAAGGTTCTTCAGAAATCACTCAGACTTGATATTTTTGGCATTTTATTGGCAAGGAAATTGAAAATTGGACAAATCAGAATGTAAATGATACAGGAGTACAACAGAAACGACAGGACAAAGTTTGTCACATATTACACTGCACCTATTTTCAGTCCAACAACTCTGGATGTTTACCTTCTATCAATCAAGAAAATAAATACGAACTCAGACCGTTGGAAATTTGACTGACGGTGACCGAAAAAACCAAGGCGTCCCAGATTAAAGCTGCATTGTTGTCTGGGTTGCGTAACTATGAAAAAGGGTGTAACTTTGTTATAACTGGATATCAATCTGTTGGTGTTTAGTGTCTAAGACTTATTCTGTTATAACATGCAGGATAGGCAAGCTACCCCGTCTGTTAGTGGCTAGTGCGGATGGCTATCTGTATATCTACAACATTGACCCTGATGAGGGTGGAGATTGCACCTTGTTGAAACAACACAGGTAAAACTATATGAAACGAGATGACTCTCATTGATATATGTTACACCAACAAGCGCTCTTTAATGTGCGCGGGTACGACTGTAACTGTGCTTTAGCGTTTCAACAAGTCTGGCTATGCAGTCACTTCTCTTTTGATTAGTCCATCACATAACTATTTCCAGTTTTTTCAAACTTTTCAGTTTAACATCCCGAAATGAAAGATTATTTTGTTTAAGAATCATACAAGTGAGGCTATCGGGTTGATATAAGGCTTGTTGTCTCATTTGCATCTCATTTGCATCTATCTGGCATTAATTATCGCACGTTTTTGTTTCAGGTTAATCGGACATGAAGACGGTGACAAGACTCATGTAAGTGAAGCCACATCCGCATCTATGCATCATGCATCGTGTGTTTTCATACTTAGTTCATTACTTTCCTATTTTCTGCTGGAATGGAGATTTTAAAGCCCCCCATAGTTTTATCTGATACTCCCCCCTCCCCTACAAACAGATTCACGCATACAGACAACAAAGTTAGAAGACGAAAGAAACGACAACATTAAGACGGAAAAAGCGGAAAAAGGACTGTCAGTTAAACACTGACCTAAAGCAGGCTTAAAAACTGTTTAAGGTGCCCGGAAGAAAAACTTGTCAAACGTTTGACGTTGTCGTGTGTGTATTAGAGCGTATTATTTACTTACACAAGAGCGCAAATTTGCCTGTGGCCATTAATCTGTCAAACCTAACCAGTGTAAATAAACTGTTTTCATGATTTTTTTTACAGGAGGAAGAAACTGTCGCCTCAGAGGGTGCTACGTCACGTGACAGACATGACTCTTCCTCATCACAGAAATCTGCCATGGCAACGCCACTATCGACCTCCCCAGGAAACCCACCATTAGAAAACTCACCTCAAGCCGCTGCAAACCAAAGTGAACCTCAAAGGACTGGAAACTTGAAGTTGGATGATGATTCAGAGTACCCGCCGCTGACCGTGCATAATGATTAACGAAGGCGTCAGCGGTTTCTATGATTTGATAAAGGAAACATTGGAAGATGAGTTTCTTGATGATGTGGAGTAAGCTATTCAAAGCCATTCCACGAAAGAGAAACACAGGAATAAAATGAACAGCAACGAAAAGAACTTGACAGTGCCTACTATGCTAGCGGCTTTTTCCAGTTTTGTCCATTTCTAAAAGCATTAATCTTCGTGCCATTAATGCAACGTTTTTAACGCCATCCCATAACAGTTTCCATGGAATATTATAAATTATATTAAAAGTTTATTATTAAATTTTCATCCATTATTCGCCTAATGAGTGTTACATGAAGACAAATTATTTTCATTCATTTTTAAATCTGTGTCAGTTATACATTGTCTAACAACAACAAGAAATAAAAACCTCGCTGATTGATCAGACTCTAAACTTGCGTCTTGTGTCAGCCATGACAGAAAGCAAAATAAAGAGAAAATGTTAAATCCAGGGTGCGTGCTACTCCTTAAACTCCTTGAAAACTCCTTGAATTTAATTCACGTTTTCAAGGGCATTTTAAAAGCTCTTTAATTTTATGATGTTAGCGAAACTCCTTGAAAACTCCTTGGATTTTTGCTTTGATCATTACTTGCATGGTTCTGAAATAGATCTAGTCAGAAAGATTGGAAAATATGAAAGTCGGCCATGTGCAACCACCGTGTAAAACCTTGGCATATTTAGCTGAACATAATCCTTGAAAATTCATTTTTGAGTCCTTGTATACGCGATCCTTGAATAGTCCTTGAATTTTAATTGGTTACCTCAGCACGAACCCTGTAAATCGCAATAGCCAATTAATAAAATCTCGTTTTCAGCGCTTCCCAATCACATGCAGAAATCGTATAATTCAAACTAGTCAAACCTGAGGTAATGTAAATGAAAAAGGTACCCAATAAAAATCAAGAAAATTCGCAAAACTGAATGACTGTTCCAGGCCACCAAATGAAAACAAAAGTAACGTGGCGAATAAGCGCTAGATCAGCTGCAAGTGTCAGTTTCCATAATATATCGGTTGTCATTGAAATACCATTGACGTCCCCAATAACGTCCTATTTTGTGGCGACGGGAAATATAAGCTGTTCCGGGGTTGAGGAAAAAAACTGGGGTTGAGTTTGCATTACAATACATATACATATTTAAGTCACTTTTGGAAAAATATAATAATTAGTTATCGTTTTTCACATATTGAATTGAATCAACTTTCTCTCTCATTTAAATTTTTTTCCCTTGTGTGTGCGTTTTTGTCACTCCGTCCTTTTCGTGTGTGTGTGTGTGTCTTTCCCCCCTCGCAGCTTGTCTTGTCACCGGAAAAGCCATGTATTCTGTTGTTGCAATTATATATTTTTCTTTATACATTTCCTTCTATAATTTTCCGTTCGACTCAGCCATTTAGCTCGACTAGCTCTGCTATTTCTAAATGACTGGCGCCCATCTATTTATACATTATTATTTTATAAATTTTATTATTTATCGATCCAAGGAGTGCCAAATAAAGATGTTTGTTTTTTTGTTGTTTACAGTGCATATATTATAGTTATGTTTTCGGGACGAAACAGAAGCCATCTTGGAAATATGTACCCTAAAACAGCCTATCTCTGATAAAGGCGTCTTCATTAGTGTTCTTTATAAAAAATACTAATAATTGGATGAGACTTTATAATAAAGAATACTAATGAAGAGGACTTTATTGGTTTTAAAGGTCCAGGCTCATTAAGTATTCATGGGTTTTTGAAGAGTACTAAACTAACTGCAACCTACACAACTGTAACCTAACAACCATTCCATTGAAAAGAGCCAGGACTATACCAAAGTTCATTCATTGTAACTTGAATTACTAGGTGATTCGTCCGTAGTTCTATGAGAGGCTATGTTTTTATCAATAAAACCCTTTTAGTTTTGATTATTGAGCGATAAAAATTGACCACTTTCCATAGGGCCTTCACAGAGCTCTTCCACCACACGCACTACCACTACATTCTATATTTACAACATACAACGTTGAAGCACTCGGTATCTGACGGGCTCACGCTTACTCATATTATGTACAGCGGTAAATAATATAACAAAGAAAGATAAGTGCACCCCTCTGCCCTCTGTATAAAAGCTTCTAGTTTAGTGAGATAAGGTCGTTGTAATTGTCGCAGCACAAACGAGAGAAAGCCTTTACTTGTCGAAGTGTCGTACCAATAAAATGTGCTTCAAAATGATATAGACGTAATTGAAAAATAAACAACATATCAAACCGCGGGCTTCTTGTGGTGACAAACCACGCTCCCCTCCCCTACACATTTCAAGTCCTTTTTCGACCAAAACCAAGATGGCTGACTATCTAGTTGGGATGCTTAACTCTATTTACTGTAAATGTGAGCAGTTTTGAGCAAGAAATTCGCTTATTTAGTAAAGAAAATTATATTCCAATTTCCAAATATGGTAGGTACATTCCTTATATAGTAAAAGAAACGGCGCGAGCGGAACGACGACTTTTCTATGTGGAAAGTTTCGGATATGTGATAAATATTTTTATAGTACACTCAACAAAATTACTCGACTCTGATTAGTCGAGAGGAGTACAATTATAGCTTTAATTGTACTCCGTAGGAGTACCGAATTAAGTCGCTATGGCAACACGGCCAAAACAATGTCAAAACAATTATTTTCTATCAATTTGTACTTAAAAAACATATAAATAAAATTTTAAAGCCGTAAGAACTAATCTTTTTTATGCATTTCAGTTGGGCGATGGACTGAAAATCGGCCGCCAAATAAACAAAGATGAACGGCGTCGCTTCGCATTTTTTACTGAAATTTTGTTGAGTGAACTATAAACAAAAAATCGCACGATMTTCTCGTACAAYTTGGAATTAATAGACACTCGTAATGTTTTGGAAGCTCTTTAACTGCACTCGCCCAAAGGCTCGTGCAATTACAAGAATTTTCAAAACATTACTCGGGTCTATTAATTTCCAAATTGTACTCGAGATAGTGCGATTTCCTATACAAATACTTGAATAGTTAAAATTTAAAATGTCTAAATTCTTTAATTTGAAAAATGTTTTATTTTTCTATAGAAAAAATGGTTTTGACTTCATATCTATGTTTCTATACTCTGATAAAACATAGCTTTTTGATCATGAATTTAGGGCAAACAGAGTGCGCGTGAAAAATCTATTATATAAACATATATACAAAACCTAATTAGATGCAAAAACTCATGAAAAAAATGAATAACTCTGCACCTGTTTGTTTATCTATAATTAAAAAGATAGGGTTTTTCGAGAATTTTTAGGCCTAAAAAGTGAACACATATAAGGTATATATAATTTTTTTATATCCGAAACTTATGTATTTTACGTGTCTTGCATTAAACTGATGAGGCATAAAAGTATTTTTGTTAACTTTAAAAACCTGCTTTTCTGTAAACACTAAATGTATTTCGAAACAAAGTTAGTCTTGTTTTTGAGCCCGTGCTGACTTTAAGGCGTGGGAACATCTATCTATTATGTTAGTCATGACTCAGAATTTTTTCTGAGTCTTTCAATTTGCAGCTGCACATAAGTTGTTCTATATACTGCGAGGACCAGCTCAACTCGATACATTACAACCGCAGTTCAATATATAGTTTATATATATTCTCATAGAGGTTCCCAATTGTCAGTTAACTTCTAATTTTTCGGCCGAATGTCAGGTAATGATTTTGCGCTGGCCATATTGTTAACCAAAATAATGAACTACAAATTTTATTTTAGGTTATTAACTACTAACCCCTTGGCACCCTCCAACATGTATACCAACATCTGTTTCCGTTGACTCTTTTGTTTTGTTTTTCTTTCTAATTCTTCCTCTTTTTCTTCTTCTACTTTTTCTTCTTCTTCTTCTTCTTCTTCTTCTTCTTCTTCTTCTTCTTCTTCTTCTTCTTCTTCTTCTTCTTCTTCTTCTTCTTCTTCTTAGCATGTTTTACGGAGCTAGAAACGGTAACGATAATTTTAGACTCTTTTAACATNCTTCTTCTTCTTCTTCTTCTTCTTCTTCTTCTTCTTCTTCTTCTTCTTCTTCTTTTTTTTTTGTAAAACAAAACTATCTTTGCATAATATATTCCAATTCCCGACACCATGGTTTATAAAAATTAACAATCGTCTAATGACGTCCAAATCTCTCAATAGACCTTGTCAGTATTGTAATATTCACAAATTCAAGCTGACTTAAGGTCTATATTGAGAGATTTGGGCGTCATTAGACGATTGTTAATTTTAAAAACCATGGTATCGGGAATTGGAATGGAATGGGAATTCCAGCTAATTGTGTAATATGTGAAAGCCCAAAAATCGAATTATAAATTTTAATTTAAGAGCTGTTTTCTCATGACTTTAATTCCAATGTCATTTCCATGACACTGTTCCATGAGAATAAGATGGGTTTTTTTTCCGGTTCGCTCACAGCAGGCCGGGGAAGGCTGTCACAGGACTCATGTATTTTTAATTTCGCCAAGAGATTTAAAAAAACTATGATGTTATTCATGCCATGAGTAGAATCGAGCTAGATACCAGACGTTCTTTGAAGTAACTCACTCGTGTATTCCACATGCACAAGAAAGGGAGTTTTGGCGGCAGATAAAAAGGTATGTTTGCATGTAGCATCGATCGGCCTTGCACAATTTAGGCGGATTTTCATGGGGATCAAATATATGCAAAATATATTCCTGGCTTACCATATGATTTTTTTGTGAATCTCACGAATAAGAAAACAATTGCTTTTCAGTGCACAGTACAGTTTTTCCAACGCCTCACATAAAATCATTTCGCTCTATAAACTAACTGTAATCAATATTTTAAGATACTGCAAATTTTAACTTAACTTAGCGGCACATATTACATATTTTCTCACTGCGTTTTGAGTGCTTCGTCATCGTTGCCAAGCCTCTCAAGTATGTTAAGGCCTGTTTTTAGCCTGGATTTCACGAAACACATTTTTATTTCTCGTTGCCACAAAACTCATCGGATTTTGATAAAAATTGGTACATTGATAGATCTCGGGTTGGTGGTGAACCTTAAATCATAATTTGGACTTAAGAGTGATCACGTCACTAACTTCGATGTATAAGGGATTTCGATTCATGTTTCTTTTGAAAATGCGGTCGCGAGTTTAAATCGTGAAACAAACTTATGCACTACTGAACTAGACTTTACTTTAAGGCATTTAAAAACTTTTCGTTCGGGAAACTTGGTTTAACTATAGTTTTCGCTTAAGACCCATTAATATCTCCCTTCTTGGAAATAGTTCAAGTTTTCCAAACGTGAAGTTGTTTGTCATCCACTACTTGTCAACTTTCCGTATTTAATTGTTCCTTGTAGCTTAAAATCGCGACCGCATAAATTTAGGTGCTTTTATTTCTATCATGACGTCACATATCACGTGACCTCATAAAAATTAGCACCACGGAATTGATATCAACATTCACTATCATGATTTTTATTGAAAACTATTGAATATATTCAAAGTACGAAGCCTTTTTATACGGTGGCCCGTATCAGTTTTTTGATTTACTTTTAGATTGTCAAAGAAATGCACAATGCTGAATTAGGTTTCACAATCAAATAAAGGTTTGACAGACACCTCAAGGAGTTGGATTTCCTAGTAACAAATAGCGTTCTCACATTTCGTGTTATAACTTCACATTTTCACAGTTCGTGTAGAACTTCACATTTCGAGTTATAACTTCACATTTCGGGTTAGAACTTTACATTTCGTGTTAGAACTTCACATTTCGTGTTAGAACTTCACATTTTGACTTAGTTATAACTCAACGAATCGTGTTATAACTCAGCATTCCGTGTAACCTTAAAAGTATGTATAATTATTAACTACATCACAGGGAGCCCGGCTTGGTGATGCTAAATCGGTAAACATCACGTTTCATATGTTGATGACATTACATAATAATCGTAACTCAATACACTCATATACAAACGGTCACTACGTAATAGAACACCAGTGTTTGTAACGCGTAACTTAATATCATGATAAATGCATATTCAAATACGTAACGCACGCGTTAAGAAGAGAGAAAGGCTAGGTTAATCATAAACATGTCCCATCAACTGCTGGCGCACATAACTTTAAACCAAGCTTGCCGAAATTGCCGAAAATATCATGAGAACTGCTCACAAGTTATGAAATCAACGCTCCCTCGTTTGATTTAATCTATACTTATTCGTTTGATCCAGGTTTAAGAGCCCCAACTCTAAGACAAGACTACAAAATCGAGGTTTTAAAAGGGCTACCATAGTTTGTTTCAGCCCTTCTCTCCTTTCTCTCTTCTTACGGGGCGTCTAACACTATTGCATTACAAGTTCTATTACGTAGTGACCGTTTGTATATGGGTGTATTGAGTTACGATTATTATGTAATGTCATCAACATATGAAACGTGATAGTTTTACCAATTTAGTGTCACCAAGCCGGGCTCCCTGTGACTACATCTGTTTAATGATTTTAAGTCAATTCAGACTCATTATATCCATTGGGAATCACCTGTCCTTTAATTGCAAATTGCAGATTCCACTTGTTTCCGCTTAAGAGAGCAAATCATTTGCAGAAGTCAACTGTAATTTAAAGGATGTGCATCTTGAACGGCCAAGCCTGAGAAAATAAGTCTGTGGCCTTAAAAAACTTAGGTATGAATCCAATGCGAAACTGGTGCGGTATTGATAATTCAAATTTAACTTTTAAATATTTAATGTGCAAAAGCGTTGCTATGTACTGAGATAAAACTACGTATATCAGTAATCGGAGAGTCCATTATGCTGGACTTACGCCCTCGAACGAAGTTTAATTGAAGCTTTGCTCGCCTTGAACACATGAACAGGGTCTGTCTTTTGGTCGAGTGTCGAGTGTCGAGGGTAGTATGTCGAGGTCGAGGGTACTAAGTCGAGGGTAGGAAAGTGCTATGTCGAGGGTATCATTTTACACAAGATTCACTGTAACCACAATTATTTGACGCATGTGTATATTGCATGGTAGTGCTAATGATTGCAAACACTGCGGGCAATTTTGAAAAGGCACAGCATCTTAAGCTGCGTCACCGCTGTATATACGAGGGTGGTGATTAGCGATGACAAGTTGTTTTATTTTAAGCAGACAACGTAACGTTTGTTTAGGAGTAAATTATCGGAACAAGAAAACTTAATTAGTTAATAAGAGAAAACCCATTAGTGGCTWAATGAACGCTAGAGAGTCTGCGAGAAGACATCTAGATTGCAGAGCCGAAAAGAGAGGAAAGAACACGAGAACATAAGAATAGAAAACAACAAGATGATGTTGTTAATTGAAAAAGAGCCATCTTCGGGAAACAATGTGTCAACAATAACGTAACTTCAGTAAAAACTGAAATGACTAGTAACATTTCTTTTAGAAAGAACGTTTTTTTWAAAAATTAAGCTAGACTTAAGCTTATAAGTCAACAAATTATTTCGCATCCCCCCCCCCTAAAAAAAACACTAAACAGGCCGAGTCTGTTTAAAGATCTTACTTACATTTTTAAAGCAATTCCAATTCTGTTGTCTGTTGATAACAAAAGTTCAACTGACAAATTTCAATTTGCTTTTAAAGCTTTTAGCTAGCCTTAATACTAATGTGTTTTAAATTTAGGGCAGAAATTTTCTTCATTAACAATGAACTAAGACATTTTATGTAAGTCTGAATGGCGTTCGTAAGCAATTCTTGAAGCTCTGTAAGTTTTTGAGAAAAGTGACCTAAAATGCATTGTAATTTTCTCGAAAATGTCCGTTAAAATAGAGTGTTATGTAGTTCGCTTAATGTAGAACACATAATGTGAGTTTTCTGCCGTGTTTTACAGTCTAAAATAGAATTAATGTAGAACACATAATGTGAGTTTTCTGCCGTGTTTTACAGTCTAAAATAGAAAGAAATGATAAAGAATGAAAACACTTACTGTGTTCCTTGGACGCAATCTTGAATTTACCCCAAATGCATTTCGGTATCGGTGTTTTTATATTGTCCTTATTTTTATTTTTTTATGCACTCAGATTACATCCATTTCCTTATTTAAATTACTATACTGATTTTATTATAGTTGTGGCAATATTTTGTGTACAATTAAATGGGACAAGAGGATCAGAAAGTATTTTTTATAATTAATTTTATTCCAGCCTCGYTTTCATGCCAATCATTGATTTTGTAAGAAATTGAGCTTTAAAAAAATACCATAAAGCTACTCTTTTAGCATTGCTATCACGTGAATTTGAAACGTCTATAGATGATGTTTGAATTGATATACTCACAATTTGTCCCTCTTTGTGGTACCGAAATCTGACTAGGCCCATGGACTATTTGGAATGGT